TACTTGTCTTTCCTAGTCAAGGTTGTGCACTTAAATCCCAAGGCCTTGGCAATCTCTCCTTGAACATGGTTAGCCACCTCGAATTTCGATCTTCCACCCACCTGACATGTCTCTGACTCTGGCAGCCTCCCCAGGAATGTAACGGAGCAGTGAATAGATGGATTCATGAGCAAGAACACCGGATCTAGGACTTTAAATCCGGCAGCGGTAGTCCCATAGAACATACTGACCTGAAAATCTACAGCAGCTGGAACTATTTCTTTAGTCATCTCAGCAAATAAAGGGCTGAACCTTAGCAAATATGGCTCTCTACAGGTAGTTCCTTCAGGACATATTACAAGGTCACTCCGCCTCAGTTCCTGTTCCACTAGCTCTGAGTCCTTTTCCCGATTTCGCGTTAACCGGACAGTCTTGATTGGTGAAACCAGCTCAGTAATCCTGCTTATACTATATGTAACTGCAGTCACAGACCTCATTAGAAAAAATGAAACATAGATGGGATCAATCAAGGTTCTATGGTTACAAACAAAGAGTGTGCCCCCTTGTTTTCCCTTTGTGTCCACCCGGTTTAGCCCGCTGCTGGTGCCTGTAATTCCAGTGAAGTATTGGATTGAGACAGAGAGTTTATATGGTAAGAGGAAAGCAGCTAATATACGGATGACCATTAGTAAGAGCCCCATTGGGATCCACATGAACATGAATAAGGTTGCAATAGGGGTTGGCCTAAATGCCAATCTCCCATCATGGAAAATCAGTTCCCTTGGATGTTTCTCCCTTGGAAGAGCCTCCCAATTCCTTTTTTCACCTTCATTTACTAAGTGAACCTCCTGAATGCATGCAAACAAAACATGATCATAAGAGGGAAAGGGAAAGAAAGTAAGAGAAAGTGACTGTTCTCAAGGCTAGATTGACAAACCTCACACTGAGAAAAGAGTTTCTGATTCTTGAAGCAACAAAGGCCAATATCTGATGAGCTGAAAACGCCGCCAAAGCCTGTGTTCTTTTCCTCCATTAAACCTGTAAAATGCCCTGAAATCACCTTCAATTCCTTCCCCACAACGCCTTCAACTCTCAAGTAATCTCTCAGGAACCTCTCCACCATTACTCTAGGCATTTCACTCACTCCTACCTTTCTTCCACAGTACTTATTCACCATATCAAACCCTTCATTTCCAGTATCTTCTAGGAAAAACTTTGGCAAAACAGTGCTTCCGATTCTGAAAGTCTCCTCTTTCAATCCCACAAAGGAAACAAAAACCATGATCTTCATCCCAATTTTCCTCCCGACCAAACACAAAAGAGGGTAAAGAAGGAGAAGTACGAAAGCTCTCAAGGGTCCTCCAGCTTCAAAGGCTACTAACATGAAGTAAGGAAAGACAGAACATGATCTCAACAACACTCCCTCCATATGAAACACCAAACTTCTGTTTGGATTCAGATCTTGTTCTGCTGGAAACATGTTAAATTCTGGTTTTGATGCATTGGAGATGCAGGGTTTTTTCTGGTAGTACAACTTGTTCCATGTTTTTAATGGGAAGATCTTAAACAAGAATGTGAAAGGTTTCAAGTTGAATGGATTTCCAGCCATGTTTTTGGGAAGAGATTTAATTTTGCAAACAATTTATGGGTTTTTTTATACAGGAACAGTAAGTGACACTTGGGCTAACGTGGTTCTCATTTTCTTGCAACAGGTTCAAACAAATCCAAAGTGTACCACGAACATTCAATGACTGATTCTAGCCCTCTAAATTACTCGTACTAATCAGATTATCTTGTCTAAATCAATCTCACACAGAGTGCATTTTTAGATGAACATATGATTAACCTTTTCTCAATTTTGCATGATCAAACAAACAATGAAATATACTTTTACAGTAAAAAACTTGCATGAATTCCAACAGCTAGTAAGACATTAACTCTGCCATGTCAACATGCTATATATTTATGACTGATATATATATACACATGATTAATCATAATAGTCCCTGATAACAATATGAAGCTAATGAAAAATGATTAGTACATTTTTTGATTCAAGGTATTTTACAATATATTTATTAAAAAATTATTATTTTTAAATTTAAATTAAAGGTGAGAAAATTTTCAATTATAAAATTTAATAACTAAATCAGTAAGTGTTAGTATATTAAACTAAAGAGTATACTAATTATTTTTCAAAGCTAATGAACAATTTTATTCATCACAAAAAGTTTCACAATAATCACATATCATAAAATAAGTAAACAGAATTTTTGTACATCATTAGGCGAAGAGTCAAATTAATTATAATAATTATTATATAGGTATATAAAATTTTACTGTGAGATAAGATTGTATATATATGAATTACTTCCCATAAACATAAATCACCCGTGAGATCAACTAGTGAAGATAAAAAAAATAAATAAATAAATTAGTTAATGCAATTACATGATGATATTATTGACTTAACTTCAAATTTAAGCCTATACCCGAGGAGGTACAATTAGTGGGGAATGAACTACTTAAATGAAGACGGAAGAACAAAAGTTTATGGAAAATTTTGGTGGTGTAAGTTAGATCTGCGCATAGTTTTGATTTAACACACTGAAAGCTAAGATTCAACTGCTTACTTACCATAAGGTCGATAAGGAACAAGTTTTTTTTCCCTTCATTTGGATAGAGAAATACATAAATATATATATATATATATAATATATAAGCAAAGTTAGCAACTTATATTTTATATCTTGAATTGAATTACAATATGAAAATTTTAAAATTAAAAACAAAAACATTGATAAGTACACTTTCAATTTAACACATTATATGATATTTTCATTAAATTCTTAACAAACACAAGGGTGAAATTAAGAAAATCCTTAATATATAATTAGAATATCAACATTTTGTGGTCTTTTATTAGTTGTTATTTAATTAAAAAATAATTGATATATACTCAATTCAATACATACATTTAATTTAGTTATTAAAAATATAATATAAATATTATCGCATTATGGGTACATAATTATATTTTTAAATTTATTTATTTTTAATTTTTAATTAAAAAATAATTTTGTAAATAATATACTATGCAATATACTTAACTACTCATCAATAATTGCCCTGTTTAATTTACCTACAAGTTGGATTCAACATCCTTAGTTACCAGAAGTCAAAATTCAAAAGGCTCACGTGAAGCACAGTGTTCTATCCATTTCATAAACTGACTAATAATATTGGAAAGGGACTTTGGCCCTCTATATGTCGTCTATCCCCCAATTTTTAAAAAGGTTAAAATATTATTTCATCCTTTAACTTTTAAATCTATGCTAAAATTGTCTCTCAATTTTAAATCAAAATAGTCATCAAATTTTAAAGATAATATCAATTTAATCCTTAAACTTTGAAAATAAGTATTAGTTTAGTCTTTAAACTTTGATTATAAATACCAATTTGATTTTTCAACTTTAATTATATATTAATTTGAGACACAAATAGAAATATATCATGATAATAAAATATGACTATATGATTTTATATATTATTAGTATTTAAAAAAACTAATTTTGTGATAAAATAACTAATTACATGACATTTTTATTAACAGAAAGATTTTTTTGTAGTAAAAATTAAAATTTAGAAATAATTTTAATATTTTTTAAAGTTAAAGAAAAAATTTAATAATAAATTTAAAAGTTAAGGGATGAAATTAGTAATTTAACCTTTTTAAAACTCATCACACCAGCACATGCAGTATATTCATGCCTAGATTCTTCTAGACCATTCATTGTCAAGTAAAATAAATGTTATTTTAAAGTGCATCCCCCTTCATCGAAAAACGATTCGAATTCGATCATTTTAGACTTGTTAAAAAATAAATAAATAAATAAAATAAAGGTTGCATTTAAATAGAAAAATCAAAATCAAGATGACAGAGTATTAAATGGGTTTTAATTGTGTCCAACCTAATAAATGATTTTGGTTGAATATTTTGATAATTTTTATGTTAAAATGTTTTTATTTTTTTGTATGTTCATGTCTAAATATCAAGAAAAATAGTTGTTTTTTTTTTTAATTTGATAATTTTTTGTTTTTTTAATTTA